GAGTTGTCTTATCTCTGGTTTTACTTTCAGATCTCTGCCCTTCTCATTCCAGGAACATGACCTAGGGATATTGGCCTGTCTTAAGCACTCCTCAAAATTGGTCTCTGTTCTCAGAACTGCTTTGTTTCTTCAGAAAGCTTTCTATGGGGCTGGAAAGATGGCTCAGTGGTAGAGTGCTTGCCTCACATGCATGAGGCCCTCAGTTCGATTCCTCAGTACCACATAAGCAGAAAAAAAAGCCGGATGTGGCACTGTGGCTCAAGTGGTAGAGCGCTAGCCTTGAGCTGAAGAGCTGAGGGACAGTGCCCAGGCCCAGAGTTCAGCTCCCACCACCACCACCACCATCACCAACGAAAGAAAGCTTTCTAGATCCCCATAATGGATGACTTATCTTCTGAGCCCTCTTCATTTTGTGTGTGTGTGTGTGTGTGTGTGTGTGTGTGTGTACAGGAGCTTGAACTCAGAGCCTGAGTGCTGTCTGTAAGCTTTTTTCTTCACAAGACTATCCCTCTACTACTTGAGCCACATCTCCGCTTCCAGCTTTTTACTGGTTAATTAGAGACAAGAGTCTCACAGTCTTTTCCTGCCTAGGTTGGCTTTGAACCATGATCTTCAGAATTCAGCCTCCTGAGTAGCTAGGAGTATAGGAGTGAGTGATCAGCCCCCGGCCCTCAGCTCATAATCTGTGTCGACTTGGGCCTTTCTCCTTGGGAGAAGAGCCACTATCCTGAGCCCTGAGAGCAAGCAATCTACCAAATCAGCACAGCTGAGTGCTGGGAGGGGACTTCCCTTACCTGTCCAAGGGGAGATGAACCATAGGAGGACCCAGCATGCTCCCCAGCCTCCACAAGAGGCCTCAGGCCTTGGGACTGAAGACAGAAGAAAGGCTGGGAAATGCTGACTCCACGGAAAGTGTGTAGCATGAAAAACTCCAGAGAGACAGAGGAAACCGGAAAAGTCTGGCTTATGTGGGACTGTCCACCCTCCCCCCCCAAAAAAAAAAAAAAGCTGAGGGCTCAGAGTTAGATTGTGAGTATGTGTGGGTAGTTGATGCCTTTCTAGGGTTCCATCCCTTAGGGCCTGAAGCAGGAATCCGCGGGACCAACTGGGCCACCACACACAGCTGGAGTTGAGGAGGGGGGAATGGAGCCAGCGTGGAGGATATCCTGAGCCAGGACCGGAATGGCAGTTCTCCAGATGGAAATTCAGAAGTTCCTTTACCCAGAGACAGTTGCATCCCTGACCAGGATAAAAATAACCTTTCCTCTTCCTTCCCGCATCATTCCTTTCACCTCCAACTTCCCAAAGTTGGGTCAGATTTGCTGGCTCTGAGAACTTCATCTCCAATGATAACCATCCACCCACTCTCTCCGCCACCTTCTCTCAAGTAATACTGGTCACGCATCCATCTGGTTGTTCTAGGTGACTTGCTTGGGAGATTGTCACTTAGATCTACCTTAGGGACCAGGACTGGTCCCTAGGTCCTCAGACTCTATCACATGACCCCATTCCAGTGCACAAGTTGGAGGGTCTTGGCTCTGCTCCTGTCTTGCTGAGGGACTTCAGGCAGTGGGTGCATTGCCCTCTATGGGCCTCAAGAGCTTCATCCTTTGGACAGGGTACTAGATGGTGATTCCTGAAGACCTTTTAAATACCCAAACATCCACATGCACATGCTGGATTGCTAAGTTCTCCAAAATCCCAGTGCAAGGCGGGTAAGCAATGGCAGACAGTATTGCTGAGGCAAGAGCCACCACCTTTGCAGGAAAGGGGTGAACTAGCTAACCTCCAGCAGAGCAAGTTGGCCCTGACTATCTCTGCCCTATGTAGGGCTCCCACCACAGCCCTGACCCCTGCTCCCATTGCTCCTTACCTGCCCAGCCTGTGACCCCCTGGCCCTTTCACATGGTGCTCCTGGCCTGGTTTGATTGCTGGGACCCAGTCTCAGTTCTACCACCTGTCTCCCCGCGCCCACGTTCCACCCTGACTTCCTGCCTCCTCTGAGCGCTCCACAGCCAACCAGGCCCCAGCAGCCCAACCACAAGCCTCCAGCACCCCAAGCTTCCTGTTGTCCTAGCCCCTCATCCTTCAGCCCCTCGAGGTCCCAGACTTCTCCAGGCTCACCCTGAGGATGGCACTTAAGAGGGTCACAGTTGAAGGGAGAGTTTGCCCTGTATCATACACTTAAGTAACAGCTTCCAGGCAGCACTGACCCTCATGAGCAGTGTAGAGCAGCCACAGCGAAGGCACGCAGTGGGAAAGCTGAGTGGTCCTTTTGCCTCAGTCTGACCACAAAGGCAGAATTGTATGATTCAGGCAGAGACAAAAACAATACCGCCATTACGTAGTTACAGTCAACACTATGAGTGTTACAGTCAGATGCGAGGTGATCTGGTTGCTATGGTGGCTGGCAGAGCAGTACACCTGTCATCTTGGACCACAAAACAGCAGCTTTATTAGAATCACAAGGGGTACTGAGGGCTTACAGACAGAATTCCTCCTGCAGACAGACAGAATGCTGACGGCATGCTGGTTTCAGGAGGCAGACAGGACAACTTCATGTCTACAAGAGGCAGAGTGACAGTACTTGCTAGGCAGTGGACAGAACAAATCCCACTCATCATGACTGACCAGTGGGACATTGCTAGTGCATACAGACCAAGGCAAAGCCACCACCCTAGCTGGATACCAATGGCTCCTATCTGTAATCCTAGATACTCAGGAGGCTGAGGTCTGAAGATGGTGATTTAAAGCTTGCCAGGGCAGGAAAGTCTCTGAGACTTTTTTTTTTCTCCAATCCTGGGCACTGTCCCTGAGCTTCTTTTGCTCAAGGCTAGCACTCTATCACTTGAGCCACAGGGCCACTTCTGGCTTTTTCCTTTTCTTTTTGCCAGTTTTGGAGCTTAAACTCTGTCTCTGAACTTTTCAGCTCAAGGCTAGTGCTCTACCACTTGAGCTACAGCGACACTTCCAGTTTTCTGGTGTTTTATTGGAGATAAGAGTCTCACAGACTTTCCTGCAGTACTGGCTTTGAACCAAGATCCTCAGATCTCCGCTTCCTGAGTAGCTAGGATTACAGGCATGAGCCACTGGTGCTGGACACTTCTGGCTTTTTCTGTTTATGTAGTACTGAGGAATTGAACCCGGGCTTCATGCATGCTAGGCAAGCACTCTACCACTAAGCCACATTCCCAGCCCCATCTGTGAGACTCTTATCTTCAATTAACCACCAAAAATGCCAGCAATGGACTGTGGCTCAAGCAAAAAAGCTCAGGACAGTGCCCTGGCCCTCGTGAGTTTAAGGCCTAGCACTGGCATAAATTAATAGCAGCCATTGCCCTCATGGAATATATAGCCTGGCACCATTTCTTGCCATAGTTGAAAGATAACCAGCACAATACCCAGGAACTGGGGCAGGCAGCAGACTTGGGACATTTGTACTGTAGTCAGGAGGCAAGAGCCACCCAGCCACAGGCAGGCCAGGAATCTCCATTTGCTGGTGCCAGGCTGAGGGGGGGCACCCATCATAGGCTAAGAGCCAGGTCACCAGTGATATGAGGAATGTTGGATGGCCCCTGTCAGGATCAAGAACTGGGCCTTCACCCCACTGGGAGGAAAGTGTAAGTGCGTCACCTCCTGAGTTACACTGAGCCAGCAGGTGGGGGAGGGGAGCCCACAAAGCATTGTTGGGGTTTGGTGGTAGAAGCTGAAGCTGTGTGTACCTCAGTTGCAGAGGGGAAGGGAGGGGGACAGGAAATGGTGGGGGGGAAAGGAAACCTGAGTTGGAAAGTCAGACAAAGAGAGTAACACAGAAACAAAGGCTGAGAGACACAAAGCAAAACCCTTCCTCAGGACAGGGCCCAGGGATGTGGCTGCAGGCCTGGGGCAGGGTCCAACTGCCCTGGCCTGTGAACCTGGCCCTTCATAGTCCATCTGGGGACTCATCAAAGAGTCCTGGCATTGGAGGTGATAGAATGGGCATATTGTGTGCTTGCTGTACCTAAGGCATGTCCAGCTACCCGTGTGGTGAACATTTAGCATCTCTACTGCGAAGTAAGAGACTCAGGGATCCACTAAGGGACCTCTTCAACATCTAGTAGAATGAAATCAGGGAGCTGGCTTTGAGCCCACGACTAACAGACTGCATCCTTCAGCCACCTAACACACCTCCCAGGGGAGTAACTTAGGATCTTAAGTTCTTTCCCACTAACAGTGTGTGTGTGTGTGTGTGTGTGTGTGTGTGTGTGTGTGTGTGTGTGTGTGTGTGTGTGTGTGTATCAGTACTGGGGCTTGAACTCAGTGCCTGGATTCAAGGCTAGTGCACTAACACTTGAGCCACAGTTCCACTTCTATCTTTTTGGGGATAAATTGGAAATAAGAGTCTCAGTGGCTTTTCTTCCTGGGTTGGCTTCAAAAGGTGATTCTTAGATCTCAGCCTATTGAGTAGCTAGGATCATAGGCAAGAGCCACAGGTGCCTAATTTTTTTTTTTTTTTGATTGTGGGGCTTGAATTCAGGGCCTGGGTGTTGTCCCTAAACCTCTTTGTGTTCAAGGCTAGTGCTCTACCGCTTAAAACACAGTGCCACTTCTTTTTTTTTTTTTTTTTTTGTCGGTCATGGGGCCTGAACTCTGGGCCTGGGCACTGTCCCTCAGCTCTTCAGTTCAAGGCTAGCACTCTACCAGTTGAGCCACAGCACTACTTCTGGCTTTTTCAGCTTATGTGGTGCTGAGGAACCGAACCCAGGGCCTCATGCATGCAAGGCAAGCACTCTACCACTGAGCCACCTTCCCAGCCCCAGCTACTGCCTTTTTGTGTGTGTTAATGATCTTGGTAAGGTGGAGAAATCAGCTGGAGCTGTGGGGAAGATTCTATCAGTCCATCTCCATCCCCAAAAGGGCCTTCTCTTCTGTAGTGGAATCCCCTGTCCTAGCAACAACAGACAGACAGGATCTTAAGCCTGAATGAAGGACTCCAGAGATCTTGACAGGTTGCAGAGGACATTTATTGAGAAGTTTGGTAATCAGGGCTGCTCCCACCTCCAGCTGGGACTTTCTGCTCTCAGAATTCAGACTAAAGTGTGCCTCCCCTTCCACTCACTAGATGCTGGCACCTCTGAGGCTCCTCCCTAGTGGACTCCTCCTTTCGCTCCTCCCAGGGGTCCCCCTTAGGCACACAGGTGCCCTCAGCAGAGGGTGAAGCGCCTGGCGCTGATGTTCATGCGCGTGAGACCCAGATGCCGCAGCGTCGGGGCCAGGGGCAGGCCGGCCCCAGGCTCCAGCTCTAGTTCCAGTTCAGCCTCGTCCAGCAGCTCCTGGTGCAGGTGACAAGCTTGGTCCACCTTCAGACGGTGCAGCTGGGCTCGAAGCCTCAGCAGCTGTCCTGCCAACTGCCGGTCCTGAGCTTGCATCTCCCTCTGTGGCAGAGAGGGGGCAGCCTGTCTTGTGGGCCTCAGCCATTGTTCCCTGTCCAACATTCTGAGCCTTTCCAATCAATGGCTGAGTCCACAGCCCTCCCTCACCCAGCGTCATCGCTCCCTATGTTTCAGATCTTGCTCCATCAATACGGATTCTCAAACCAAGCTAAGGAGCCATTACTAAGCAAATATAGTTGACCACTAGTACTTAACACTGTTCTGTCAGATTCTGCCTGTCAGCATCATCATCAATTCCATTTGTTTGTACTTCACTGTATCTCTGGGGTACAGCAATTTCCAGAATATGGGAGGCCATGTCTTTTGTTATCTAAAATGGGTGGTTCCCTAAAGATTCTGTCTCCTGACTCACAGGAGCACAAGTTCAACACATTAGATGGAATTTTTTTTTTCAGCAAGGCTTTTTGAATAAAACACTGGACAAGGGTCTGGGAAGGTGGCTCAGTGGAAGAGTGCTTGCCTCGCATGCATGAGGCCCTGGGTTCGATTCCTCTAGCACCATATAAGCAGAAAAAGCCGGAAGTGGTGCTGTGGCTCAAGTGGTAGAGAACTAGCCTCAAGCTGAAGAGCTGAGGGACAGTGCCCAGGCCCAGAGTTCAAGCCCCAGGACCAACAAAAAAAACAAAAACAAAAAACACTGGACAAGTGCATTCCTGTTTCTCCCCCCCCTACCCCCCAACAGCAGGGGCATAGGAGTAAGCCCTTGCTGACCTTTCTGGAAGGGCAGGGAGTCCATTTTTTCCTCTCCACCACCCAGGGGAAGTCAAAGGCCATGTACAAGGCTATCCATGCCAACAGACTCACCAACTCCCGTCGGAGCCACTCAAGGGCAGAATCCATTGAGTCAAAGCCGCAGATGGCCCCAGGCTCCCCTGGTCCAGATCTGGCTCGGGTCCTACGCCAGGCCTGGCTCTGGACCCTGGCTGTCCACTCCAGATATGAGGGCCGCCGAGTTTGTAGCTGCAGCTTGGCAGTCAATGCCTTCACAGAATCCAGGCTCTCCTCTTCCTCCTCATCCTCCTCACCCACTGCCTGGAATTTCTGTGGCCCCAGAGACATGGTGGCTTTGAAGTGAGTGACAGGGTCCTGCTGCTACTCTAGGATGAGGACAAAGCTGGCAGTGTGGTGGAGGTGGCAGAAGCTAGGAATGAAGAGTGTGCCAGGAAGTGTGCAATGGTAAGTGTTCAAGTGGCTTAGGGAGGCCGAGTGTGCCAGAGTGGGTGAACAGATGGCTAAGAGAGGCTAAGTGTACAAGGACTGGAATTTTCCTGAACTATTAACAGGGGGCCACGTGATGCCAATCCGGATGGGGGCAGGAGGAGCCTTGCTCTTTTGGCCCTTTGGATAAATTTCATTGTCTTTGCCCAGAAGTGGGCTCCAGCTTCCAGAAAGGAAGCTGCTCAGGATAAGGAAAGCATCATCCACACCAGTCTTGGCCCTTCTCCCAAGACTCAAGCCAAAGGACATGGGAGAGGGAGGAGGCTGACTAGCTGCCCCATCTTCAATCATTGTCCTAGCTCTTCAGCAAAAGAACAAAGTTCAAGGGCTGGAAATGTGGCTTACTTAGTGGTAGAGTACTCATCTACCATGCATGAAGCCCTGGGTTCAATTCCTCAGTACCACATAAACAGAAAAAGCCAGAGGTGGTGTGGTGGCTCAAGTAGTAGAGTGCTAGCCTTGAACAAAAAGAAACTCAGGAACAGTACCCAGGCCCTGAGTTCAAGGCCCAGGACTGCGGGGAAAACAAAAAACATAGTTCAAGCTGAATGCCATTGGCTGTAATCTGAGATACACAGGAAGCTGAGATATGAGGATCACAGTTTGAATTCAGAGCTAGCAGACAAATCTAAGAGACTCAGGTCTCTTTCACCACCAAAAAGCTAGAAGTGGCATTGTGGGTCAAATGGTAAAGTATTAGTTTTGAACAAATAAAGGTAAGGGATAGTGCCCAATACTGACATGCAAACACACATAAACACAAACACATACACACACACACAAGCAAAACAGAGTTTAGAGCCCGGGTCTTAGAGTCAGGAGACCAGGATTTCAGTGATGATTCAAGGGGACTTTGCTCAAACATGAGCTTCTCTGAGCTTCTTTTGGGATAGATCATTGATTTCAAGCCAATTTACTCCCAAGAGGCTTCAGGTTTCCTTGAAAATTGCTAAAAACCTGTCTATGATGAAAGAACACAGCAGTAGATGGATGGACTCCTAGCTCTCCCTCTCCCTGACCCTCTAAGGGTTTCAACCAGGACAGTTTTTTACTTTCCTTTTTTTTTTTTTTCTTCAAGTATAGGACCTCATGTTTGCTGGGCAGATGCTTTATATCATCCACATTTTAAAATACAACTCCATATTTTAATTATACAATGTGAAGGAATTCTGTTGTATTTCCATACATGCACATACAGCAGTTCTCTTTTATAAACTTTGTATTGAAGTATATGACACACCTACAGAAAAATGTGTATATCCTAAGCTGGGCGCTGGTGGCTCACGCCTGTAATCCTAGCTACTCAGGAGGCTGAGATCTGAGGATCGCGGTTCAAAGCCAGCCCGGGCAGGAGAGACCGTGAGACTCTTATCTCCAATAAACCACCAGAAAACCGGAAGTGGCACTGTAGCTCAAGTGGTAGAGCACTTGAGCTGAAGAGCTGAGGGACAGTGCCCAGGCCCAGAGTTCAAGCCCCACGACTGACAAAAAAAAAAAAAAAAGAAAAATGTGTATATCCTAAATCCATAACTCAGTTCAAAGCACCAGGAAATCTTCCAGGTAGGTGCTCCCTGCCTACGATTCTCCTAAGATTAGCATACTTTTTTTTTGGGGGGGGTCCGGTTGTGGGTCCTGAACTCTGGACCTGAGCACTGTCCCTCAGCTCTTCAGCTCAAGGCTAGCACTACCACTTGAGCCACAACGCCACTTCCAGCTTTTTTCTTTTTGCTTTTGTGGTGCTGAGGAATCGAACCCAGGCCCTCGAGCATGCAAGGCAAGCACTCTACCACTGAGCCACCTTCCCAGCCCCAAGATTAGCATACTTTTATTTTTTTGTCCTTTGTGGGGACTGAGCACTGTTCCTGAGCTCTCTTACTCGAGGCTAGCACTCTATCACTGGAGCTACAGCGCCACTTCCGGCTTTTTCTGTTTATGTGGTGCTGAGGAATTGAACCCAAGGCCTCATGCATGCAAGGCAAGCATACTACCACTGAGCCACCTTCCTAGTCAGTTTTAAGAGTCCCTTTTTCTAGACTGAAAAGCCAGTGAAAAGAATCTTTCAAAACACAGGACTTGGGTCATTGTTTGGACAATTTGACAGGAGACTCAGGTGGTTCCGGGTCCCTGAGGGCTGGACAGGAACAGAGGTGCTCAGGGAGTAGAGGGCGCCCACAGGCAAGACTTCCAGCTGTGCAAGGGGGAGGGGCACCAGCTACACAGCTGCTTGTATTTAAGGTGGACCAAGATATTTCCCCTACCCAAGCTTCAAATGTAGGAGAGGAAGCAGGAAGTTCCCAGTTTGTGGGAAATCTACACTTTCCAGCCCATCCCCTGGGGTACAGGGAGAAAATAGGCTCGTTGTTCTTTTTTCTCTTTTTAAGTCAGCGGGAGTGCCAGCACCCCCAAGCCTTCAAAACCCAGTGCCTCTTGAAACCCAAGCTATGGGTTAAAAGGGATCTGGGCAAGAATATTCCTCCCATTTCACAGATGATGACATTGAGATTTCTTTAATAGATTCTGGCTCGGGTTCTGCTAAGAGTTAACTTGGCTCGGAGTGGAAAACAGGAAAGCGGTGCGGGGGCCCTTCCTCTGAGGGACCTCCTTAACAGCTTGTCCTGCCGGCCTCGCCAGCTGCCCAGCCAGTTCCTGTCCCTTGCAGAGCCGAGCCCGACGCCGTGGGAGCCGCGTCCTGCTGGGCCTCAGGGCCCCGGTTGGCCCCATGGAGTTCTCGGAGCTGATCTACACCGGCCGGGCCCAAGCCGAGCTCCTGCGGGGTGGGGAGGCGCCCCGGCTGCGCGGCACGCTGTGTGTCACCGGGCACCACCTGCTGCTGTCGCCCGAGCCTCAGTCCACTCCGGACCTGTGGCTGCTGCTGTTGCGTAGTGTCGACTCGGTGGAGAAGCGGTGGGGCGTGCAGGGGGCGTCCTCGGGGTGCAGGAGTCCCGGGGCGGGGGTGGGGGGGGCGGGGGCAGCGCAAGGGGGAGCTGGCGCCCTCCCGCAGTTACGTCCGAACCAGCGAAACTTGTTCCCTGCTGTGGGGGAAGGGGAGAGGAAGGCCACTAAGCCTGGGTCTGCCCACCGCAGGGTCGCAGGCGACTCGGGCACCATCACCCTGCGCTGTAAGGACCTGAGAGTACTGCAGCTGGATATAGAGGGCGTGGAAACGACGCTGGACATCGCCCGCTCCATCGAGGTCTGCCAGGGGCGCACCGGGGCCCCTGAGCTACCCCAGTCCCATACCGCGGTGGGGTGGGGATAAAGGAGCTAATGTGCACAGGGGCTCCGGACTCAGTGTCATTCCCGGGCACCGCTAAATGGCCCCAGGATGCAGGGCGGCGCTGGAGGGCCGCGAGCGAGGCGACCCCGACGTTGCCTAGCCCGACTTCCCTCCCCAGGCGCTGTCCTCCCTGGAATCGGTCATCACTTCCTTCCCGTTCTTCTACCGCCCCAAAGGCCTGAGATTGGGCGACGCCTGGCACTTCCACCCACCGGAACGCTACTACAAGCGCGTGGCGCGCGAGGTGGGCGCGGCCACGGGGGCCGGGGAATGAGGAAGCGCTGGGTCCGGAAGGGGCACCGGGGCAGGGCACTCTTTGGGTGCCCTAAGACCCTAGCCTCCGCCCTCCCTGCGCCGCCCGCAGACCACCGCGTGGCGGCTGAGCGAAGTGAACCAGGACTTCAGCTTGTGCCCCAGTTATCCCCGAGCGGTGATCGTGCCCCGCACGGTGGACGATGACGCCCTGGCTCGCTGCGCCCGCTTCCGCCAGGGAGGCCGCTTCCCGGTGCTCAGCTACCACCACGCGCCCACCGGAACCGTGAGCCCGCCCCTCCCCAGGCCCAGCCTCTCACCTTCCTAGCGGTTTCTGCCAAACCACGCCCCCGGGTGGCCAGGATAGGCCCCACGATGGCCCCGCCCACCTTGCTTCCACTAAGCCCCGCCTCCCACGGGCAACTGCATCTTCTCCAACTCCGGCTCTGCCTCTTGCTCCCTTTTGATCAATCCGGAACCCGTCCATGGTCTACTTATAGGTCCCACTGCCATCCTGCATCACCTTCCCAGACTGGGTGGGAAACCCTATAGAGTTCTGGCCCTGCGTTCCAGTCAGTCCTTGCCAGATCTAGTCTGCTTTTGTGTAGACCCACCCAGGGCCTCCTTGAAGTCCAGTTGCTGAATCAGGTCCCTGTTCACAGGTTCTGCTCCGCTCCAGCCAGCCACTGGCTGGTCCCCAGAAAAAGCGCTGTGCTGAAGATGAGGAGCTGCTTGCAGCTGTTCTGGCCTGTGGCCCCCCTGGGGCCCGGGGCTTCATTGTGGACACAAGATCAGCCCAAGCTGCCAAACAGGCCCGCTTAACTGGCGGGGGTACAGAGGCTAAGGCTGCCTACCCTGGCTGGAGGCGGCTCCATCGACCCCTGGAGAGGTAGGGAGAAGCCATCTTCTCCCATACTTTTTCCTGTGGGACTTCTTATGGTTGTGGAGTGGGGTGAGTTCTGCCAGGCCCCTCAAAGACTGGTAGGCCTTTCTAGTGGCCATCCCACCAGCTGGCCATCTCCACTTGCACAAGTGAGTTATCTCAGTCATAAGTACTCTGGGTAGACCCGGAAGGAAAAAGTACCTTTTATGTTACACTGAATTTGGCCTTCTGGAACAACCAACACATACATACACACAAATTGAAGGCTGTGCCATTCCTGATCTCCATCTCTAGGTGATGGTAATGCCAAGAAGAGATTCTGGGGTACTTTTTGTCCTTTGGGGGGAGTAAACTGCTTCCCTATTCACAATTTTTTTTTTTTTTGCCAATACTGGGGCTTGAACTGAGGGCCTGGGCACCGTCCCTTATCAGTGTTTTGCTCAAGGTTGATAAGCTTTTGAGCTATAACTCCATTTATGCATTTCAATTGGAAGCCAGCCTGTTTGGCTGGCTTCAAACCTTGATTCTCAGAACTTGGCCTCCTGAGTACTTAGGATTACAAGCATTAGCCACTAGGACCCAGAATCACTTTTTTTCTTTT